TATAGATATATACATATATATATATATATATATATATATATATATATATATATATATATATATATATATATATATATATATATATATATATATATATATATATATATATATATATATATATATATATATGTATGTATTTAATTATCAAATAGCATGTTTATGTGAAAGAATTCTCCTTATGTGTGCAATCTTACCACCAAATGTTTCTGCAAATTGATGTTAGACATTTTTCGAATGCTCCAATACGAATAGTTGATAGGCCTAGATGAAGATAGTTGAACGGGACCTTTTCGGTTCGACGAGGGGAGATATGTTATTGTTTTAGCTGCTGGATTATTCTTCAACCACATAATTGTTGCATGAATGTTGAAGAATGAAGAACCAATTTTCCGTCATCACAACCTAAAACATTCATCGAGTTTTCACTTTATCGAACCTTAAAAAAGAGAGACAAATTGTTCGATGAAAACTGGGCAATATAGATATCATGTTAATGTCTTAAAACATGATCTTTACATGTGAATAAAATCTAAATATATTTTGTAGCCGTTACGTCTTAGTAGTTGTGTTTTATTCAGTTCCTGCATGTTTGCTTCTCCTTCAATCAATTATCATGTAAATGGATGTCGATCGTATGGTGTCTATTTCCGCAAAAAAATATCTTAGGGGTGTTGATTACTTGATTATACTAGTATCAGAATAAAGCAGATAATTTTGACATTTTTTATTGAATTTTTCAGTACAGTTGAAGATGATATATATATAGATCCAGTGGAATCCCAAGAGGTAATTGATGATTTTGAACTTGGTCAAGATGAAGTTGTGGACATCAAAGATAAAGAAGTCAATAAACAGAAATTGAGACGACGTGTTCAGCAGTGCAAAGTTAGTAATTCTCTATCCTATTCGATATACACACTGAATGTTTGTTGGGTCACTAATTTTTAATTAGTTCTTTTAGATGATTGTTATTTTTTTTGGATTTCATTCTAGATTGAAATCCGAAATCCCTGTCGTGAAGGCAAAAAACTGCTTGTTCTCGATATCGATTACACCCTCTTTGACCATCGGTCTCCAGCAGAGAATCCATTACAACTTATGCGGCCTTGTAAGTGTTCATTGCGAGAAAAAAAAAATGTTTTTTTTTTCACTGCTTATATCGATCATGTTATTAATTTAGTAATTGATTGCACAGATCTTCATGAATTTCTCTCGGCCGCCTATGCTGAATACGATATCATGATATGGTCTGCAACCAGGTTACAATTTTTACTCCTTACCAATTGCCATCAATTTAATCATGCGATTTATAGTTTTGCTTCGGTTGAACTCGAATGATAATTTGCGCGTGTGATCCTCGTATATAATTACTGGCATATAAGTTTTGTGTACTGAACTGTGATCCTGATTAGCGAGACCAATTTAATTCCATTTCTTATAATAAAATCTCCAATGCCCAAGTTCTGATATTGATACGTTCAATGTCTTGATTAATGATCAAATAACAAATTGATATTTATGTTCTTGTATTCGGATGCTGACCCTTTTTTTCCTGCATTGCTTAATAGTTTTTATATACAGTGTAAAAGGGCTTCGATTTTTGTAAATTGCCACTCAATTAAATGAATTTAGTTCATTTCTGCAGCATGAAGTGGGTCGAATTGAAGATGGGGCAGCTTGGGGTACTGAATCATCCCAACTATAAAATTACAGCTCTCATTGATCATTTGGCAATGATCACCGTTAGATCAGATACACGTGGCGTCTTTGATTGCAAACCACTTGGCCTAATTTGGGCACACTTTCCTCAGGTTCGAACTTACTATTTTTCTTTCTCATTTTCGATATTTATGAATCATATCTACAAAAAGAATATATATTTAGTTAGAATTGGTTCTCTAGGACAGCGGAAAACTATTAGTTGTTAGGCGAAAAAGTAACATTGTACGACTATCAATGATTCTTGTATTTGTCAAATTAAATTAACTTATTTTAGTACTTCTAGTTTTTTAGGGTTGAAATATTAAAAAAAAATTATTAAAGTTATTGTTACGTACGGAATAAGTCCGTAATTTGATAACTGTTTAAGTCGAAGGCAACCGGTCAATTCACGACTTCTGTGTATATTTTGAGGCATCAAACTTAGAGAGTCATTTTGTAATTATAATAAAAAAAATAGGGAATTAGCAATTTAATTTATTTTACCGGCCTTTTAATTGATACGCGTTTTTTTTTATATTACGTACAGTTCTACAGCGAGAAAAACACAATCATGTTTGATGATCTGCGGAGGAATTTTGTGATGAACCCTCAAAATGGTTTGACCATAAAACCGTTTAGAAGAGCGCATGCTAACAGAGATACCGATCAAGAACTGGTAAAGCTTACTCAGTATTTGCTCGATATAGCTGAGCTCAATGACCTAAGCGCCCTCGATCACAACAACTGGGAGTCGTTCAGCAATTTCAAGAGGCGCAGGCATTAAAATTAATATTAGTAAGTTATCTCCTTTTTCTTGAATGTCTGGTTCTGTTCTCCTGAGGAACTAATTACCTAAAGAAATTATTTGAAGAATTATTAAACCGTTTTTCATTTTTATTCGGGCCAGTTTTCCTAGTATTACCTATTATTTATACTTTTTTTTTTTTTTTCAGAAAATCTTTCTTTTTTTACTGAACTTTTTTTTCCTCCCAGTTGTTGCCGTTGACCGCCGGTCTCCGGCATTGACTTTTTCTTTTCTTTTTTGAATTTTCTTTCCTGGACTTTTTTTCCGGCCGGTTGTTGGAGTTGACCTGCGGTCTCAGACACTGATTTTTTATTTTATTTTAACAAACAACACGTGAACATGAGATTTTTTATTGAGTTGGCACACGATGTTCATGAGTCGATTCGGTTGATTTACTTTTCTCCCATGATTTTACTTGGGGATGAAATTGAAAATGGGGAAAATAATGAAAGGAGATTTACTTGGGACCAGTTGTCTTACATTTGTAATGAAATTCAAATACAGAAAAGATAGAATTTGGTTTTCTATTTTCTAATCTCATGAAAATCCCCTTTAACTAAAAAAAAATTAGTATTGCGTTAAATTGAATAAATCAAAGTCTCAATAATCGAATGTCATATGTAAATTTAGTACACATTTAGTAAATTTGATAAGGAGAATTCTTATTGATAAAAGCAAAATTATATCAAAATTTTCATTTCACTCTACCATTTTACATGTTCTCAATTATACCCTTCAATTATATCTTAGGTAAGCCTTTGTTTTGAAAAATAAACAATTAAAATAAAATTCAAGGAAATCGGATTGAAGTAAGCCAATTTAGCCACCCCTACCTATAGTTAGAATTTGGAACGGAATTTTTGGATTCCGCCCATTTCGATTTGTTGAAACAATATTTTTCATTACGAATTTTGAAAGTTCCAATTTTCGAATGCCTTTTGAAATGAATTGGAATACTTAATGGATTTCGAATTTTGATCAAATTTTAGTTTTAGAAAATATTTTGGAAAAATTGGATTTTCTTTTCGAGAATTACACTTATACCAATACAATTATGTATTTTATATTATAGGTGACAAAATTGAATATATGAAAATTTTGATATGAAAATTTCCAAACTTTTGACATTAGTTATTTTTTTTTCTTTGATACAAAACTAGAATTAGATTTTCATTTAAAAACAAAAGAATTTTTAAATCCGGCCTATTTTTGCCCCTTTCCCCAATCCACCTACTTAATAATGGTGTAATAGTAATATATATTTACCTGAAAAAGATTGTAGTGTAATAATATTACCAAGAACCATTTCAAGAACTTACATATGAAAGCAAGAAAATATCCATCAAAGTAAATAATTCATGATAGAATTATTCTACCACACTCGTAACTTTTCCACGTAATTCCAATAATACACACATCTCATTTATTCCACTAAACTAAAAATATTAAACTTTAGTTACTTATAGAAAATATTATTTGGATTAATTGCTTCTTGGCAAAGGAAGCACAATCTGCACTTGTGCATGATAGTTTCTGCAATACACACACATCATGCATATATATATATATATATATATATATATATATATATATATATATATATATATATATATATATATATATATATGTGT